TACGACTAATAATAATAACAATACTAAGACAACTACTAAGACCAATACTAACAATAAACACAATAAGACGAGGAGGAGGAGGAGGAGGGCAATGGAGGATGCAGGAATCGGGGACTGAGGATGGGGGAGCAGAAGGAGGAGGGTGAGGACGAGGGGGAGGAGGAGAATTGAGAATGGAGGATAAAGGAGGAGGGGACTGAGGATGGGGGAGGAGGAGGAGGAGGAGGAGGAGGAGGAGGAGGAGGAGGAGGAGGAGGAAGAGGAGGAGGAGGAGCAGGGTAATGCAGGATGAATGAGGAGGGGATTGAGAATGGGGGCGGAGGAGGAGGAGGAGGAGGAGGAGGAGGAGGAGGAGGAGGAGGGATACCAGTATCCCTTCATGGTCGCCCGTACCCCGCCCCACCCTCGACCCTCGAACCTCCACCCTCGATCCTTTTGTCCTCGATCCTCGAATCCGGTTCTCCTCTCCCTCCTCTCCTTTCTGTTCCTTCCGCTCGATCCCCTCCTCCTCGTGGTCCTCGCCGTGGCCCTCGTCCCCGTCGTCGCCCTCGTTCCCGACGTCGCCTTCGTCGTCGTCATCGATGCCCTCGGCGTCGTCGTGGCCCTCCTCGTCGTCCTCGCCCTCGTCGTCCTCGCCCTCGTCGCCCTTCCCCCCCGAGGCGGCTGCGTTCCGAGCGGCGTGTGCAGCAGCTGCGGCTCGACGTGGAGGCCCGCTCGGGCGCGGTTGCGCTGCTGAGGCGCCGCGCGCGCGTCGGAGCGGCGCGACTCCCGCCGCCGGAGCGGCCTCGCTCGGGCAGGACCCCTCCTCGAAATCAAACGCGAGTCCTTCATCGTGGTCGACGCGCGAAGCGCGGCCCGCGGGGTCAGATTTTGTTTTTGCCGCCGCAGGTTTCGGTGCGAGCGTTGAGATTTTGGGGTCCTGGGGCGCCGCCACGTCGCGGGCAAAACCTGCGCTTGACTTTGAAGAGGGATGTAGGACATGAGGGGCAACGATAGGGGGCGGATTTGCATAGGGGGGATGCATCGACCTCGAATGGCCGATGCATCGCCCACGTATCGTCGATGCATCGTCGGTGCATGCCGCCCCATGCAGTGTCCATACATCCGTCGATGCGACCCCCTGGGGCCGCTAGGGAAGGCCCCCCCCTCCTCCCCTGGGACCCTCAAAATGGCCCGAAAGGTACAGGTTCCCCCCCCAACGTTGATCGCCCCCCACGAAGCGACGCCCGAGAGAGGCAGCCAGAAGCATCGGATTCAGGACAGGGGCACTGTCACCACGCTGGAACAAGGGCCACTTGGGGCTCAGCAGGGGCTCTGGCTTTCGGGCTGTTTCCCAGACCCAGGTCGTTGCCGATGCTCGCCGTGGTCAGGAAAGCCCTTTCGTCTCTCATTCAGCGCTCCTTGTGGCAGCACGCGAGGTCACCCCCGGGAGCGCGAAGATGATCGCGCTTCGCGCATCGCGGCTTGGGTCGGAGAGCCCCCCCTCTCGAAGAGAACGGCGCGTCGCGCATCGCGGCGCGCGGGGCGCGACGTGAGGCTGCCTGGGTACACCGTTCGACAGCGTCCTTCTGAGTGCTCCCGGGGCCTTCAGAACGCTCAGGGACGGCCGCGGGGCCCGACCTCAGGACCGCCGAACCTCAGAGGTCCCCGCTCTGTTCCCCCGTCCGGTGTGGTCCCTGCCCTGGCCTCGTCTTGCTCGTGGTGCGGCCTTCCCGGGCCGGCGGAAGCGCAGACCTCGGGCCGGCGGCAGGAGCCGTGCGGCTGCCGTCGGCACCCAGAGGCGGATTGAAGACGAAACGAGGGAGCACGAAAACTAAACGGAAGCAAACAACACTGTTTAGGGCGATCCCTGATCTTTTACCCAGCAGCTTCCGCGGTGATTCAAGTTAGGGGTTCGCCACGTCCTCGGTGCTTCCTCTGCTGCTACTACTGCTACAGCTGCTGCTGCTTCTGCTTCTTCTGTGCTGCGTCTGCTCATCTTGAGATGCTGGGGTCGACTTGGAGCCAAGATGACGCTCCTTCAGCCCATCGCGAATTTGCTTTTTCCGTTGATCTGAGCATATCTTCAGCATTCGTTCATCCAGGATCCTTCTCAAGTGATCGTAGGTGGACTCGGGCGATCTTCTCGATCTCGAGAATCGTCATGATCCGCGCGGCCATTCCTGCAGGCGTGGTTATCTGCTTCATCTTCTCGGCGAATGATCCTGCGGGAGGTCCGTTGCCGTGCAGCGCGTGCTGCAGTTTGTTCCCATACTTGAGTCGAATCAGCCACTTTTAATTGAAGGTCCACTGCTTGCAAAAACCCAACATAGTCACCCCAGAGGTACCAGCATGCGTCTCTCTCATCGTGAGCACCTCGGCAAAACGTATATCCTGAAACATCAGAATTGCTTGTGCTCTTCGCAGTCGCATTGGCTGACATCACATCCGAGTGTGGACAACCACTCAGAAGGTTGAGCAAGAAAAACATGGGATCGGACTTCAGCTGCTGCTCGAAGTTTTCCCAGTTCTCCTGGTTGTGACCCTTATCCGCCTCCTCCCGCTCCTCCCCCTCCTCCCCCCTCCTCCCCCCCCGTCTCCGGGGCTCCTGGCGCGCGGGCTCGGCCAGGGAGCGGCTGAGCACGGCGGACCAGCAGAATCGCGGCCGGGCGGCCGGCCACGACGGGACCGCCCCCGGGGCGCCCCCGTCAGGAGGAGGATGTCCAAGCGCGCTGCACAGGCTGAAAGGGTCCTACGTAAGCATATCTTTACGGATGAGGCGGTCATCGGCGAAGCACTACAGATTGGGTCGGCTTGCGGGCATGGAAGGTTCCAGTTCGGTTCGGCCAGGTCTGCTGGGTTTGTTTTCCACCACCACCATAAGTTGGAGGGGGAAGGAGGAAGAGGAGGAGGAGGAGGAGGAGGAGGAGGAGGAGGAGGAGGAGGAGGAGGAGGAGGAGGAGGAGGAGGAGAGGGGGGAAGAGAGGTTCTGTTGAGAGGTTCTGTTAGGTTTGGTGTCGTCATCCGTCTGGTTCGGTTCGGTTCGGCGTTGTCAACCTCCCTGGCCGGTTCGCTCCACTTCGGCATTCTTGTTGCTTCCCGTTCGGTCCCGCGCGGTCCGGCTCGGATGTGGCGTTCGGACGTGGCGTGCTCGGCCATGCCGCAGTGCAAGCTACTGACGGCCGCGGGATGCCTCGCCGCCTCGGCCGTCGCGGGGTCTGGACCCTCCTGGTCTGGACCCCCCCGTCTGGACCCCCCGGCCAGTCTGGACCCCCCGGTCCAGAGCCCCTGGTCTGGAACCCCCAGTCTGGATTCCAGGGCCGTCCTCCCCGGCCCGGATCCCCCGGCCCAGACTCCCCGGTCCAGCACCTCTGGTCCAGACCCCCCTGGCATGGGACCCCGTGTCCAGCCCCAGTTCGCACCCCCTGGTCTGGGCCCCCCTGTGTGGACCCCCCCCGTCTGGGCTCCCGGTCTGGACCCCCGAGGCTGGGCCCCCGGGTTGGGACTGTGGGACAGCAGGGGGCCACTCCCGGTTGTGAGACAGCAGGGGGATGAGGAGGAGCGGGGGCGCAGGCCCCATGCACAAGGGCGCTCTCCAGGGCGCGGAGTCATTCGCGCTTCGCGCTTCGCCTCCGATCCCTCATCCTCCTCTTCTCCCCTGGGAGGCGGCGCGGGAGCGCGAAGTTCTTCGCGCTTCGCGCTTCGCGCAGTGTGAAGCGCGAAGTTGGGAGCCCTTGATGCAGTGCGTCCCGCGAGGCCCACTCTGTGCCTTGCGCGGCATCGATTCGCTCCATTCGGTCCGCTTCGTTCCGATTCGGGGGGGGAGGTTAACCTTCTGGTTCGGCGTAAACTTTGACACTGGTTCGCTTCGGTTCGGGAGAAGAACACGACCAGTTCAGTTCCGTTCGGTTTGCATTGAGATATCACCGGTTCACGGCTGTTGGGTTCGGCCAGATTGGTTCGGCTTCGGAACCTTAGCCAGTAGTTGTCCGACAACGGGCCATATCCTCAAGGCCGATGGGATGGCCGAAGCCTGACGCCAGCGGCCGTGGTCGAACTAGTCCACTGGGATGATGCGAGGAGGAGGAGGATGAAGAGGAGGAGGAGGAGGAGGAGGAGGAGGAGGAGGAGGAGGAGGACGAGGAGGAGGAGGAGGAGGAGGAGGAGGAGGGAGGGCCCGCCCCCACCGCGCGCGCGCGCCTGGCGCGCTTGGCGTGGGGCTCGTCCTGTGGGAGACGCGTCTGCAGTTGCGAGAGAGAGAGAGAGATAGAAACAAGAGCGCGAGAGAGAGAGAGAGAGAGTGAGATAGAGAGAGAGAGAGAGAGGAGGAGAGAGAGGAGGATGAGAAAAATATATAGATAGATAGAAAGAGAGAGAGAGAGAGGAGAAGAGATGAGAGAGAGAGAGAGAGAGAAAGAGAGAAGGAGGAGGAGGAGGAGGAGGAGGAGGAGGAGGAGGAGGAGGAGGAGGAGGAGGAGGAGTTGGTCTTCAAGCTGGAGGAGGAGGTGGAGGGGCGAGCGCGGCGGTAGCGCCGCGCGAGCCGCCCGAGTGGCGAGGAGCTGCGCCCGACTACGGCAGGGCGCAGCGGCGCGGGCGCAGGCTGCGGCGGCCGTGGTGGAGGCCGCCGAGGAGCTGGACACCGGGTGGCCTCGCCGCGGGGAGTGTCGAGTTTCTCACAGGAGGAACAAGTGCCACATATACCGTAATCTCTACCCTTCCTTCGTTTCCCCAGTCTTTTCGGGGGGGTTCCGGGGAGGTCCTCGTCGCCACCACTGGATTCGCGCTCGAAGTCCTGGTCATAACGCTCCCCGGGATTCGGATGCATCTCCTGGGAGGTCAAATTCTGACTTTGCCCTGGTCCGAACTTGGCTTGATCTGGGTTGATCCCCCCAATGGGGCCTGATTCTCCCTAATCCTTCCGACGAAGATTTCCCAGTAGTTGCCTCCTAACCAGGAGAGGTCCAGAGTGGTGCTATCAGCACCTCTCTCGGCATCGTCCGGACGTGTGCTTTTCTCCCGGAGAGTACCATTCAGGAGCATCCTGGCTCATCATGCAGAAAAGCAACACGCACGAAACCGAACGATGCACGGGGAATGGGCGTCGGAACGAAGGCAGGGAGTACAGTGGGGGCGCGTGCCAAGAAACCAGTTGGATTTTGCCAGGGTGCCCTGGGTTTCTTGGATTTTGGTGGGCTCCCAATCAGATCTTGACGATTTTCGATCGACACATGTGGATTTTCCCTGAACAAATCGCGTATTTCAGGGTTGGGTTTCTTGCGGAGGTTTCTTGTGGCCGAGCCCCCACTGTAGTAGTAATTATGGGTACCTGTGGTCTCCCTGGTTTCGAGACCTCGAGGCCCGAGGTTGGCGGGCGTCCTCGTCGGCTCTGGGCGGCCAGCCTCGGGATGCTCTCCAGCAGCTCCGCCTCGCCGAGCACGCTCCGGGGGTGCCCAGATCGGCTCGAAGGGCTGCGAGGTCAGCCACGCGCAGAGGGGGGTATATGGGGGGGGGGGAAGGTTTCTCAGATGCATCCTGCTTCTCAGAAGGCGCGGGCCTGATCTGTCGATGCAGGGCCGGCACCTTCTAAGAAGCAGCCTCCCCTAGGAAGCCTTCCCCCTTCCCCTACCCCCTTGTGCGCGCCGCCAACGAAGGGGCAACGCCAGAGGTGGATGCATCGACCTCCAATCGCCTAGTCATCATTGATAGGGGCCCGATAGCCATCCCTGCCCAGCAACGTACGATGTTTCGCCATCGGGGGCCTATCGCCAATGCGTCGGCGATGTATCGCCGAATCAAACTTGGTGCTTCTCCTCCCCCTGAGCGGTGCCCCCCTGGCATTGCCCCTCATGAATGATCAAGAGCATGTCTTTGTTTGTTGGACATCCACAGCGTGAGAGCCGCCTCACAGGTTGCCAATCCCTTCAAGCTCAACAGTCACCCCCGAGCTCTTGGGATGGAGGCCTTTGCATAGCTTAGACCATACCGCCTTCCTCCGTGCTTTGCCCGCAGACCACGACTTCTTATGACGATGTGGATCTGACGCACGGGATGAGGTGTCAAGAGGGCAAGGGTCCCCAAGATCCTTCAGCTGACCTCCTGAGGTGTAAAGAAGCCAGTTTGACAGACACAAACGAAACTCCCACAAACGAAACTCCCGTAACTGCAGTCGGCAACGATACACATGTGGCCGAGCTTTCGCAGACGCTCGAATCCACCACTAGCTTGTTGGAAAAGTGCCCAGGTGGAGGGCGAAACTCAGCCCTGGAGCTCTTGAGACACTCTCCATGCTGCCACAACTTGCCGACAAAACTCCAAAAGTGAGGCGGCCTCGCATCCTTTGGAGCAGGAGGGGGGGCACAATCCGAGGAACTTCATCGAGTTCAGTGCGAGACCAGATAATGATGGGGATGTCCGTAATGATGGGGATGATGGTCATGATGATGGAGATGACCGTGATGATGGTGACGATGATGGCGATAACGGTCATCATGCCGTTCCTGCTGCTGAGGATGAGGATGATGATGATGATAAGGATGAGAAGGGGAATGATGAGGATGCTTATGCTGTGTACGATGATGATGGTGATGATGATGATGATGGTGATGGTGATGATGGTGATGATGATGGTGATGATGATGGTGATGATGATGGTGACGATGACGGTGCTGATGGTGATGATCACGATGCTGATTCTGTCGTTGTTGACGATGATGATGAGGACGATGATTTTGATGATGATGATGCTGATGGTGGTGAGGTTGATAATAATGATGATGACAATGCTGATGAGGATGATGATGGTAAGGATGATGATGATACTGATGATGATGATGCTGATGATAAAGAGGATGATGCTGTTGATGACGATGGTGATGTTGATGGTGATGATGTCGCTGATGCTGATGATGATGCTGGCGATGTTGATGATGATTAAGATCCTGATCACGCTGCTGATCATAATCAGGCTCATGATCAGGATCGTGATCATGATGACTATGCTGACGATGATGACAACGATGCTGATGATAATGATGCTGATGCTGATGCTGATGCTGATGATGATGATGATGATGATGCTGATGCTGCTGATGATGATGATGACGATGATGACGAGGATGATGCTGATAATGGCGATGATGGTTATGAGGTTGTTGATGATGATGATGATGCTGATGCTGATGCGGGTGATACTGCTGGTGCTGATGTTGTTTGGGTTATATATATATATATACATATATGTATGTTTTAGAATCACATGCAACATATGTTCAGAAACGCACTGCCAAACGGGCTTCGCGCGCGCGCATGTCGAAATGGTTCGAACGCCCTTGCGCGCGTGCCGTCGTGAGAATGCCCGGGAAAAGATGAGACGAAATGCCCGCGCGCGTCGTCGCGCGCGCATAACAAAATTCTTCAAACACTTGGTGGGTTCGGAAGGATGTCAACATTGAGGGTTTCGCAACACGGATTTTCAACAAAAGCGTGCGCGCGGTCTTGCGAATTCTTAAGAACGCCATGCGGTCTTCAGAAAACCATGCGCTTTCCAACATTATCTTACGATGCTATCAAAGGGGCTTAGCGCGCGCATGTCGAAATGGTTCGAACGCCCTTGCGCGCGGGCCAGGGTGGCACGATCCGTATCAAATAATACCATGCGAGCCACTCTCGCGCGTCAGCCGCGCGCGCATTTCGAATTCCTTCCAAAACCTGCATCACCGACGCGAAGACGCCGTGCTCGTCGTCGGCGTGATTGGCATCGGCGCCGTCAGTGGCCGTGCCGTCGTCGCTGTCAGCATCGTCACCAGCATCGCTACTATCGTGATCTTCGTGTCTACAAGAGCCGACGTTGCCATGATACCGCGTCCGGCCAAGCCGCCGACTCGCACTCAGCCCGCTGGGATGTGCCGAGCGGTCAGCGCCACCGCGGCCGCGTCGGTGGCGCCAAACTAGCTGGACGCTGGGCGCGCATTCGCGGGCTGGCGCGGCCGCAGAGATGCACCAGCCAGCGCCAAGCACTCATCTCAATCGCCGCCGCATGAGGTTTGCAAACCAGGTTGCGGGTGCGTGGGTGGGATGTCTGCACGAGCAGTGGCGTGGACAACCCATTGCGAACAACAGTTAATTCCACCACATATATTGCACCGCGTAGACTGCATTACATAGGTGGCATCGCGTTTGTTCTCTTTTCAAAAAAGAGGATAGACTCTTCCCGCCCCGCTTTATCGGTCCACCTTTTTGTGTGTTGCAATTGACATATGGTTCTGCCCCATTGCCCGTCCTAAATTTGAATTCGCACCATCCCGGCCCAGCTGGGTCCGACCCTCCCCCCCGCCATCCTTTGCAACACATACGATGCGCGCACACTCGTGCACCAGACATCACAGGTTCCCAATGATCCCTTGCAACAAGTTGGGCGAGGTGCGCACGCGCGCGTCGTCGCGCGTTTGTCGACATGTTTCGAGAATCTTCGGTTTCGGACGGATTTAAAATCGAGTGTTCCAAACATATATGAACACATGCTTTCGCAATACAGGTTTGTCAAATGAACGTGCGCGCGCGTTCTGGTGAATTCTTCAGAACACCATGGTTTGCCCCCCCTTTTTTTTTGGGGGGGGTCTCCATTTCCATTTCCAGAACGGACTAACAAACGGGCTTCGCGTGCGCATACCGAAATCGTTCGAAAGCCTTTGCGCGCGTGTCGTCGCGACAATGCTTCGCAAAAACATGGTACGGAGTGCGCACGCACGCGTCGTCGCGCGCGCATGCTGGAATTCTTTAAAGACCGTCGGCCTCGTAGCGGTTTCAAAACCGATTTTCCAAACCACATTCAAAACCACAGGGCTTCGCAACATCAGGTTTCAAAAACAGCTTGCGCGCGCGCCCTTGCGAATTTTTTCAGAAAAAAAGAGTTTTCTGCAAGATCTTCATGGGATTCTGCCACACGGGCCTCTGGCGCCGCATGCCGACATCATTCGCACGCCCTTGCGAATTTTTCAGAAAAAAACATAGTTTTCTGCAAGATATTCATGGGATTCTGCCACACGGGCCTCTGGCGCCGCATGCCGACATCATTCGCACGCCCTTGCGCGCGTGTAGGGGGGGGGGGGTCACGATCCGTGTCGCATAAAACCATGCGGACCACTCTCGCGCGTCGGCCGCGCGCGCATGTCGAACTCTTTCCAGAACCTTCAGCACCGACGCGAGGACGCCGCCATCGTCGTCGGCGTTACCAGCATCAGCGCCCCCACTTGCCGCGCCCTTGTCGGTGCGAACGTCGCCACCAGCATCGCCATTATCACCATCGTGTCTACCGTGGTCGACGTTGCCATGGTACCGCGCCCGCCCAAGTTGCCGACTCGCAGTCAAGTGCTCGCTGGGATGCACCCAGCGGTCAGCGCCACCGCGGCCGCGTCGGTGGTGCCAAACTAGCTGGCCGCTGCGTGTGCGTGCTGGGGCTGGCGCGCCCGCAGAGATGCACCAACCAACGCCAGGCATGCATCGGTATCGCCACCGCGTGGGTTTTGCAAACCAAGTTGCGGGTGGGAGGGTGGGTGGTGCAAGCCAGGTTGCGTGTCAGTTCGTTTGTTGAAATGAATTGCGCGTGTATTGCATCACGTAGGTCGCATCGCGTACGTTGCGCCGCACATCGATTGCATTCCATATTTTGAAACGCATACATTGCACCACATAGGTTGCACCGCGTAGGTTGCATTACATTGGTTGCGCCGCATACATTACATCACGTATATTGCACCGCATTTATTGCATTCCATAATTTGCACCGCGTACATCGCACCACGCAGGTTGCACCGCATATATTGAATGATGTAGGTTGCGTCGCATTCGTTTCGCCACGTATGCTGGACCGTGTATATTTCAATATCCCATAGCTTGGGCCCGCGCAGGCTAACATGTTCTGCCTCTGCGTTGGCACCGCCTGGGTTTTCTCCTGGCGGCCTTTGTTGTTAGGGGATGGCCTCGGCTGTTTGGCACAGGCGCCGCATGTCAATGTAGTTTCTCATCGGTGAATCGGGTGGCACGCATGGCATGTCTATACATTACTGCTTTTGGGTAACATCAGCTCGGGGTGACACTGCAACGGCCAATAATTTGTCACACCCGACGGCTCGTGACATGCCCTTCGCCGTTTTGGCCGCCCCTCGAACCGAGCAAATGCTGAGGAGGACGAGGGGGGGGGGGGCAGGAGGGGAATGAGGAGGAGGAGGGGGAAGAGGAGGAAGAAGAGGAAGAGGAGGATGAGGGGAGGAGGTGGAGGAGGAGGATGGGGAAAACTCCCCGAGTAAATGTAGGTTGAATCAACTATGCTGCAATGCACTACAAGACGCTCCCCTTGAAAGTCGAGCGCCCTATGGGCTTGCCATTCAGGCGGGCGCCCCGTTCTGAACAGCAACCGCTGTGCAGCCTTCCAGCACGCAGCACGGCATGCGAACCACCATGATGTTGGCCATCGTCGACCTTACACAGCATGCTTCAGTATACTATATGGTACGCCGTAAGTGGTGCAATCTACGTGGTGCACTATCTGTGGTGGAAACTATGCTGCGCATTCGATGTTAAGCAACGCCTGTGGTGCAAGTTGTGTGGTGCAAGTTATGTGGTGCATTCGACGTGGCGCGTGGTGCAAGCTAACCTATATGTTGCAATATCGGTGGCGCAGTTTTTGGTTAATTTACGTGGTGCAGGCTATGTAGTGCAAACTATGTTAAGCAATATATGTGTAATGATCTCTGTGGTGCTACCCATGCGGTGCAATCTTCGTGGTGCAATCTACATGGTGCAATTTACCCTGCTCGAGCTATCGTCCCACCCACCCACACGCAACTTGTTTTGCACAACACCTGCGGCGGCGATTGCAAAGAGTGTGAGGCGCTGGCTGGCACATCGGTGCGGCGGCGCTACTAGCGCGCGCAAGCTCCCGCGCAGCGTGGCCAGCTAGTGTGGCGCGACCGACGCGACCGCGGTGACGCTGACAGCTGGGCACTTCCCAGCGCGTCTCGCAGGCCGCGCTGGCGCGCGGGCATGTCAGTGCGGGTCGGTGACTCGGGCGGGTGCGGTATCATAGCGACGTCGACATGGGCGGACACGATGATGATAGCGATGCGGGTGACGACGACGATGACGAAGACCACGGCAAGGCAAATGACGGTGCCGGTTGGCCGCATGTGATCTACATTTTGAAACCATGGTTTTCGTCGAATTTCGCATGGGCGTGCAGATTCTTCTGGAACGCCATGCCGCGACATATAGTTTGTTTGGGATGTTTTGGGGTTATCGATGGTGTTTTGCTTGCGGCACCTGGCGTTTTTGAATGATTTCGGCATGCGTAGCGACGACGCGCGCGTGTGGACTTTGCCACTTGTTTTGGCAACTGCAGGTCTTCTGACCATGGATTGAAAGCGCGTAGACAAGGATGCTGGGGGGTCGAACCCAGCTTGGTGATGTTCTGATTTCGTATTTCAGAATGAGCGATGGGGCAGAATGATCGGCAAACTACACATCCTGGGGGTCCGGATAGGCCGGGCGTGTGGGGGTTAGATTGGATCCTATGTGGTGCAATTAATTTTGGTTGGCCCATCAATGTCCTTGGGTCCCGGAGGGGTCCTGGGGTGTTTGTGGGCGGTCACAAATTCGTGCGCTGGCGCTGTTCGTGGGCCGCGCCCGCGCTCGGTAGCGCGGCCCGCCGCCACACGCCGCGCGAGTTAGCAGTGCCGCCGACAGAAGCGGCCGTGGGGCGCGCGCCCGCGCACGGCTAAGCCCTCCTCGCAGCGCCGAGCGTCGCGGTGCGGCGCTGCGGGGGGGTTGCTGTTTGCCCGTTCGGCTTCACGCACAGCGCGGCACGCTGGCGATGGGGGGGGTCGGGCGCGCCGCGTGTGCGCCGCACGCAGCTCTAGGGGGCCTGCTGGCGATGGGGGTTCTTGCGCCCTGGCGTTCCGTGCGGCATCCAGGCCAGGCGCGCCGCGCGGCGCGGCCTGGCCAGGGGAGACCGCAATGGGGGCGCCGACACCCATCGACGTGGGTGCAGGCACCCCGTGGCAGGGTGGTGCTTTGCAGCGCCGCGCGTATTTTGTGGGGAATTTGGAGTTGTACATTCCTTGCTCGCGCAATCATCCCACCCACAAGCCCGCAATTTGGTCTGGTAAACCAGCGCGGCGGCGATTGCGATGATTCTTCGGCGTTGGATGGCGCATTTTTGCGGCGGCGCAGCGCGGCGCTACCGCGCGCAAGCTCTCGGGCAAAGCGGCCAAGCTAGTCTGGCACGACCGACATGGCCGCAGTGGTGCTGTCCGCTGGGCACTCCCCGACGCGTCTCGCTGGGCGCGCTGGCGCGCGGGCGATTCAGTGCGGGTCGGTGATTCGGACGTGCCTGGTTGGTATCACATGGGGACGTGGATCGTGGCGGGCACGATGATGACATTGACGGTGATGGTGGCGATGATAACGAAGACGACGGTGAGGGCAATGATTGCGCCGATGCTGGTCACGCCGATGACGATGATGGTGTCCACGTGTCGCAGATGACGGTTTTGGAAACATGTTGTCAAACACGCGCGGCCGACGCGCGCGGGTGGCCCGCATGTTTTTTGACAGGGATCGTGCCCCCTTGGGCAAGTGTGCGAAGGCGTTCGCATTATTCCGACTGGCGCGCACGACAGGGTCGCTTGGCCCGATTTGATTACATGTTGCAAAGTCACTGTTTCGATATGTATGTTTAAGAGCGGGCTCGCCGATTTTGTTTTGACGTTCCTTGCGCATGTCATCGCCGCTGTGTCTACGTTCGGAAACTTGGATCGAGACATTATGGCATTAACTTACGGTGTTGACGGATTTCGGCATGCGCGTGCGACGATTCGCGCGCGTGGGCTTTGCGTTTTAGGTTTTCGTTGTTCTTTCAAAGCTTGTTATTGTTGGATGCGCGAGTGCGCGCGCATAGTATGGTTTGACACGTGGGCGATTGGGCACAATCATCTGTACATTGCACTGCCCCAGGGGGAGCCGACAATCCCAGGGGGTGTCGATGTTAATTTCCGTGTAGACACGAGACTCTACGCTGCCCACGTACATGAAATGGCAACCAACGTGCGGCGGCGGCGACGGGCGGCGACGGCGCCACCGTACTGCGGCGGAAGTGGCAGCCTGACCCAGATGATGGGCTGCGACGGGCGGCGACAGGGCCACCACAAGGTGGCGGAAATGGCAACCAGTCCCAGGCGAGGGGCGGAGATGGGCGGCGTCGGGGCCACCACAAGGCGGCAGAACTGACAACCGGGCCCAGATCTTTAGGGAACGTGCAGGAAGCTTGATGTGCAAGTGCTGTTTGGGGAATGGGGGCGTTCGAGGAGGTCTCCAGCGCGAGCCCCGTTTCGAACAGTCGCCGCCCCCGCCCCTGTATCTGTTGCACTGGGCTCCAGCTTTGGTAAGGTGTCGCCTTCCGTCCCTGGAGCTGCTGCAAGCTTTGGGCGAGTGTGCGCGGCGCTGAGGTAATAATCCTCTTTCGAGCATGTCCCCCTCCATCCTCGTGACGGTTGCAAGCTTTTTCGGACGAGTGTCTACGGCGCCAAGGGGGTAGCCCCTTGTTCACAGCGAATCCTCTTTTGAAAATGTCCCCCTCCATCCTCGTGGCAGTTGCAAGCTTTTTCGGACGAGTGTCTAATGCGCCAAGGGGTAGTCCCCTGTTCGCAACGAGTCCCCCCTTCCATCCTTGTGGCTGTATGTGACTCTCAGCTTCAGGACCACAAGTGGCGTCTCAGGCCAGTTGCTAAGCCCGCCCTGCCAGCACGTTCGGTTGTGCGACAGGGAGGAGTTCTTTAGCAGGACAAGGATGGAGGAGGAGGAGGAGGAGGAGGAGGAGGAGGAGGAAGAGGAGGCCGAAGAGGAGGGTGGCGAGGGTTGGTGGGGGAGGAGGGTCTCTTGGGCAGAGCATCGCCCCTGGCCGCCTTCGGCAGAGTGCCCCGAGGTGGCTGCAGCTGAAGTGCAGGCAGATGCGGATGCTCCATGAGGTCAGCGAGGTGCCGGCCCCGTGCTCCCGGCCGATACTCTTGGAGCAGAGCCTGTCATCCCAGGGAATGCCGTCAGAAGGGTGCGGTGGAGGAGGCCTTTACATGGGTGTTCGCGGTTCGGTCGGTTCGGCTGCATCGCAGTCGGTCGCGTTCGGTCGGTGCTGTCGCCGTGGATGGCTTGTCTTGGAAGCGTCGCGCCGCGCCGGGTACATCCTCCGAAAACCGCCAGATCTCAGAGATCCCCGATATGTCCCCGTCCGATTTTGTCCCAGTCTTCGCTTCGTCTTGCTCTGGTGGCCTCTTGGATGCGTCTAGGGGCCTCCTGGGCGTCGCTAGGGTCTCTTGCGGGCCTCTTGGCGGCCTCGTGTTCCATTCTGGTGCTCGAGGGCTCCTGAAGGTCAGTTCGGGCTCCCCCCTCGAAGGCCAGATGCAGTGAAACATATGATGTTTGTGCGGGCTCATGTTGAATGTCTTTGAAATTTGCGGGGTGATCCCCGGGAACTCTGTCGATTATGGCTCGGGCCCCCTGACGTAGTCTTTACAACCATCACAGAAGCCCGAGTGGACCCGAGGACACACCACTGGATGCCTGCGGCAAGGTGGCAGATACTACCCTAGTGCACGGCCAGCATGCGCTTCTCGCAATTGCCTTGGTGCAATCCCGCCGAGGGCCCAGGCTTTAGCTGGGCCTTCTCATTGCAGTTTGCACTTCCATTCTTGTCAGCTTGATCTTCGTTCGCCTTTAGAGTGCTTGCAATCTGATTTTAGCTCGGCGTAGCAACTAGTTGGAAATATCTTACGTATGCCTCCTCTTTCTGGCTTGTCTGGCGGTTGCATCGCGCCCCCGAGGTCTATCCGATCGAGAGACTGGAGGAGAGCCGGTGCTGGTCGATACGAGGCCCGTGGTCTCGATGACGACCACGGCGACGATAGCGAAGGCGACGACGACGACGACGAACGACGAAGAAGACGGCTTCGATTGGCGTCGGCGGTGGCGACGAGGAAGGCCCCAACGTCGGCGGCGAACACGGTCGACGACGATCGGTGACGATCGGTGGCGATGGCAGCGACGACCACGATCGACGGCGGTGGCTGCGATGCTGGAAAAATCGACGATCGGCAGCGATCGGCGGCGGTTGCGTCGAGTGTGCGCACCCGACGCCGCAGGGCGGGCCGTCGAGCAGGTGGGGCGTAGGCCGGCGAGGGCCGTAGCGGCTGACGACATGGAGCGTCTTCACCGTCGTCCTCGTCTTCGTCGTCGTCCTCCGTATAGCCTCTTCGTCATCGTCGTCCTAGTCGTCCTCCTCCTGCATCCTCTCTCCTCATCTCTCCTACTCCCGCTCCTGCCTCCTTCCTCCTTCTGCTTTTCAATGCCCTCGGCGCAGTCCACTGTGACTGGTGGAAATCCAGATGCGGCGCGTTGCAGAGCCAGATCTTCTCCATCCCGATGTCGCCAGTGCATCGTTCGACGCGCTGGCGATGCGGTGCGATCCTCCGACCCATCTACTCTGGCCCCAGTTGGGCGGCCTCCAAATATGTGATCGGAGTCGCGAATGGGATGAGAACGAGGAGGGCGTGAGACGGCGAGGAGTAGGATTCTGAGGAGGCGGAGGAACAGGACGGCGAGGAGAATGGGCAGCCGGGCTCTGCATTCCCCCATGCCTGCCTCCACAGCCGGGAGTCGCCGATCCGGCAGTGCGGAACGCAGGGCACGGGGCCCACAACACCTCGGCATCCTGGGAGGAGGCGTCACCTACTCCCTTCTCCTCTTTCCTCCCTCTCCCTCCCTCCTTCTTTCTCCTCCTCCTCCTCCTCCTGCCTCTTCTATTCTCTGTGAGCAAGCTCCTGCTGTCTCCGCAGCTTCTCTGCCCAAGTGCCCCCCGTCGGCCGCGCGTGCGGGCGCCTTATGCAGGCGGTCGCACAAGCGGCTCTCCAGGGCGCTGGGGAGATTTTGTTCAGGGGGCTGCGGGCCGCGCTCTACGAGCGGCTCGTGGCTGCCCCCCTCTCTGTGCTTCAGGACCAGGGGCCTCCATCGCCTGCCTGGTCCATCCAGCAGGCGGACTCGTCCGAGGGTGAGGGGGCCTCCTGCCCTCTCCCTTCGGCGGGTTCCACCTGCCCCACCGTCTGCCTCGGGCTGGCGGTGGACCTGAGCGGCGGGGTCTCTCCCTGGCTGCTCAGCACGGTCGCCGCCCTCCTCTGGGTGACGGCCGCCTGCAGCGCCTGCGCGGGCTGCTGCCTCGGGCTGCTGGGCCCGTACGTGTGGCGGAGGCTCTGGCCCTCCGCCTGGCCGCGCGGCGCGGTTTCTGCTTCACCTGAGCAGGACCGCCGTGCGGCGCGAGCGCTGGCCTACGGGGCTCCGCCTCGACCTCAAGCGCTCGAGCGGGCAGACGCCCAGCGTGCGGGCGGCGGCGTCCACGGCGGCGCCCACTGATGGCGGAGCTGCCACCAGTTGGCGGAGGGCCCCTTTGGCCCGAGCTCTACCCTTTCGCTGCGCCCACGGCGCGCGACTACGCACGATGGCGCCTAAACGACGGCGACACCAGCTGGGCGGCTATCCCCCTCGCCTCTCGAGAAGGGGGCATCCTGCTGGCCCTGCCTGGTGCCTTTCGCTCTACAGCGGAGCTCGAGGCTGCCGAGGCGGATGGCTTTGCTGGGATGATAGGCCCCTTCCAGCTAGTGGACGTCCAGCTCCAGGGGGCCGCTTCACGGCCGCTCGCCACTACCGCATCCGTCCTCGTTATAGATATCGAGGTTGCCGAGCTCGAGCTCGAGTCGCTGTACCCTCTAGAGGTCGGCGACGACGCAGGCATCGTTCCCTTCGCCGAGGTGCGCAGCCGCGTCTATTGGCCGCATCCTTCGGGGGTTCGGGTGCTTCGCGAGGGCTACGCTCGTTTGCACGGCGCCCCGCCTACCGCAGGGGAAGAGCCTCTCCCAGGGGCCGATCGGGCTACCCCCTATCACTCTGCCGACGAGATGGAGGAGCCCGAGGGGTTCGCGGCCGACGGGGAAGCCGACCGCGCGGCCCCAAGTGCGCGAGCCCCCGCGGTCGCTGGAGCGCCGCGCGGCCCGCCCGCCAAGCGCGCTGGCGCCGCCGCGCCGCCACGGGTCGCGGGTCCTGCTCCGATTGCTCCTGGTGCTCCTGCGGCGTCTCTGGACGACGGGGCTCCCATGACCCGCGCCGAGGTAGCTGCCGAAATGCGCGCCTTGCTTGCAGCCCACGCGGCCTCCACGATGGTCGGCGGACCCGAACCGCTGGGCCCCGCTCCGGCTGCCCGGAGCGCTCGGCCCGAGGTGCCTCAGCTTTTCAGCGACGAGGCGGCGCGCCTCGGGCTGGATCCTGCGGGGATCGAGGCCGTCTTGTCCCACGCGCCCGTGGCCCCACATCGGGTCTCCGCGCGCCCCAAGGGACCCACCTCCGCGCTGGTCTCGGCGTGGGAGAAGGCGCGCTCTCTTGCTGTCCCTCGGGCCCCTTCGTCCGCTTTCGGACCGATGGGCCCCCCGCCGCCGCCTGGGCTAGCCCATCCCGCTGCGGTCGACGGCTTTGCCGAGGCGGGCGGCGCCGACGGGTTAGAGCCGCCCCTTGCGGCCAATCCGACGGACTTCAGCCTCATGCTTCAGTGCCTGCACCAGTCCCTTTCCTTGCAGCAGGGGCGGGGCCATCGCCCAGCCTTCCACCCGCTTCTGGGGACCCTGAGCGACCAAGCTCAATCTCCGCCCGCGACCTCGGGCGACCCCGCGCACGCATCGGCTCAGATGGGGGGAATCGCTCGGAGGCGCGAGTGGCAGCAAGCGCTGATGCAGCACGGCCCCGACGTGCGAGGACTGATGAAGGAGAATTTGGCCCGCGTTCTGGGCGTGGAAGTCAGCGCCGTGACCCCCATGGCCATGCATCAGTACTTTCGCGAGCACAGCCCCCTCGGGGCTCAGCCGTCGACGCACGAGTTGTTGACGCATTTTGCCTTCCTCAGCGCCGAGCTGTGGCGGGCCTGCGAGGAGGGCAACCCCGAGAGGGTCCAGACCTTGCTGACTTGCCAGTGCATGTTCATCGACCAGTTGGCGGGGGACCGCGGCTACCTCGAGGCCGCTTGGTTCCTCACGGGGCTGGAGCCTCCCCCGTGTCGCGTGACCAGTCGTCACACGGAGCGCGAGGCCCAGACCCCGTTTTCACCCCTAGTGGATCCTCGCTGGCTGTCGGCGCAGGGCGAATACATGAAGGAGCTGCAAGCATTTCGGGCGCGCCTCGACGCCGAGCGCGCCGTCGCGCTCCCCAAGCATCCACCTCATCAGCCCAAGCAGCCCAAGGTCTCAAAGCCCCCCTTCAAGTCTCAGGGTGCTCCCAAGGCCCCGAAGGCGGTGCCCAAGAAGGACTGAAGATGCCCTTGGCGCCCGCCTTCTTGGAGGGGGGGCCTTCGCGTGGCCGGGGTACGCCGCCGCAGACAGTCTGCACCGACGCTGCTACGGCTGCTAGGCGTGTTTGGGCGCAGCGAGGGCGTGAGGGTAGGAATGCGCTCCTCCAGCGATGCTGTTGCGGCCCCGCAGGGAGGAGTACGTTCCGCCACCACGCCCCTCGCTCTGCTCCGAACCGCCCCTCGGATCCATTCGGCCATTTTGGCCGTCACCTGCCTCAGTCGAGCGCTCCCCCCATGGGGCCTGCAGCCCCTGAGGTTGGTGTTCTTGCTGGTGCTTGTTCTCCTTCAAGCACCCCTGCTGCTCTTGCCAACGTCGCGCCATTTGTCGCTGACTTGTCTGCCTTGCTGCGCCTGTTTCCAGGTGCGAACATTGATATCACCCACTGGGCGGCAGCGCTGTCCCAGGTTGGGATGGGTGCTCGATGTTCTCTTGGATCTTTCTCCCGCTCATCTATGCGTGCAATGGACCGGGACGACCCGTACCTTTTGGGGCCGCCTCCCCGCGATCCTTGGCCGTGCCCGCCTGCTCCACCTCTTGGTCCCCCGCCTGACGGCTTGTCGGCGAGGCGCAGGGAGCGCTGGAGATTGCG